GTGCAACCATCATACGTAGTTCCTTTGTGTGCATGCGTGTGGTTGTATATCTGCAGCTATGGGAGCTGGGGATGAAGTGGGAGCAGGTGAAAAGCTCAGATGGTAAGATGGCAGAGATGGACTACATCGCTTACCTTAGGTGATGGTTCCATCGTTAATGATGTTATGCACATCCAGGGGGCCAGTCACACACACACACACACACACACATACACGCATTTGAACATAAACTGCACCAGACTAAGGAATCAATTCAAACACATGCACACACATATGGCAGCTCCAATAAGGTTTGTTATTAATAACTCAAAGTGACAAAAATCTCTCCTCTCCTGTTTGTGGATTTAAGTTGTTATCACACCTACACTACCACAGAAATGAGTCATCATCGGCAGGGAACAACTGCTTAAAAGAGGAAGCGATAAAGGTGGGAAAACTTGTGGTGAAGTGTAGGTTAACATTTGAGGTGTGTCAGCGGGACATGCAGAAGCATCTACAGGCTGTAACACAAAAGTGCAGAGCGCTGCATGCAGCTGTCACATTTTTTGGTTGCAGTTGAAGAGTACTGTTAACAGTGTGCAGGTAGGTGCCTTTGAGTGCGGCACTTCATATTACATCAAGTCAGCTTCTCTAATGTAATTAAACAAAGTGCTTCTCCATCATGACTTATATGACCCCATGTAGGTCTGCACAACAGAGGAAAAACATTGTATTTGATCATTTTACATTGTTGTCATTATGAAGGGAAATTGAACTTAATCTGCCACCTTTTCATACCAATGAACAAGAAGGTGGCATTGAAGGGCCACGGGCAATTTTCAAAATTATTATCCAGCCCTAGAAACAATTAAAAACTGAAAACTGTGTTGATTCGGTCAGGTTGTGTGTCCAAACGCGTGCCAAACGCGCTCACCAGATCAGATATAGATCAGAATATATCTATATAGATCTAAATGTATGTGCTGACTCAGATTAATAGTTGTTGATTATTTACTGCACTGAAATGTACCTGACACTGTGGAAACCTGCCGGTGAGGCATCAGTGACGTATGCCGATACGCCGCCGGTCTACCAAAATACTACTAGACCAGCTGCGCTCCGCCTGCGCTGAAAGCTGACCAGGTTTTAATCGGCGAGCTTTCAGCGCACTTTACACGCCACTGGCGAGCACGAAAATGTCACTGCACCTGCTGATTCTTTCGACACCTTCCCCTGCCACGCCCAGCTTGGCGGATCTCGGTTCGCCTCCGTGCGCCTCAGTCCACGAAAATACCAAACTGGCTGTACGCCGGGCTCCGCCAGACGAAAATACAACTGTGCGGGGTCCGCCACCCTCAGCCGCCTCACCGGCGAATACTAAAATAAAGCCCCTTGTCTTGGCTAGTGTGTGAGTGTGATATGAATGAATAAATGTGGCATGTAATGAAAGTGCTTTGAGTGGTCTAAAGATTTGAGACAGTGGGATATGAAATACCATTTACTACCATTTCAGGTGCTTTCATCCTCTGGCTTTCAAGCCAACATTAGTGATGACTCACTGTAGTGTAGTATCCTGTTTCATGTTGACAAGTAAAGATCAGCCCTGCAGGAATCTTACTACAGCGAGTGAGTGGGCTGTCAATTTTACAACTACAATATCACAGGCAATGGGTGGCTAAACACTCAAGTCTTAAATATCATATCAGGATGCAGAGGAAAATCTCTTTTTTCAGAAAAAGCCAATGGTGGAAATGAAAAAGGTTTTGTGACATAATATTAGCTGGGGGGTCTTTTTATCTAACTTTGCAGAAATGTTGTTAAAATGGTGAGAGCAGGACCCTGAAATTATAAATAAGAAATAGTATCTCTAAATGACAATAAGTACATTCAGTTGCAGAATAATGTTTCATTTTACTGCATGGCAGTGTCAAGCAATTCTCTTCCACCCCCTCTTACCTGTAAAAATAATTTAAAAAAAAGTTTATGCCAAAAATAATAGGTTTAAGATTCAATGCAGCAAAAATGGTGCATTATGTGATATCTGTGATATTTTGTGGTGTAATTCTCCATCACACCTAGCTTATGGGAAACAAGAGTGCAGCATAAGAGTGATGTTTCTCTTCTCCCACTCCTAGGGACAACTCAAAAATTATTTGCTGTCCGGAAGATTGATTTATTTTTGCACACCAGCCTGATTAACCAAGACATCAGAGAGAGTAAATACCAAATCTCAAACTAAATATCTTTTTAATAGCTGAACTTTATCTTAACTCAAGGGAATAAAGAAAAAGGGTCCTGTGTAGTTTCCTAACTGAGGTCTATTATGAATATGAATTCAGCTTTAAACACTTTGTTTCATGTTTCCAAAAGGCCTCTGAGCACAGAGGTATCTGTGTTTTCCCAAAACACCCACTGATGTGTAGACGAGGCCTCAGAAAAAGAGAAAACAGATGTAAAAAGATAGCTATCTCCTTTTCTCACTACAAAAACTGCTTCAGAGGCAAGTATGTAGGTATTTACAGTATACAGAATATAGAAGTCATCACTTATCTCTGTTGATTGTAAAGGAAGAAGGAGGGGCAAAGAGTATTTCATAGTCACACTTGAACAAAATTAGCTCCTGTCTTATCACCAGCAAACACCTGTAAGGAGTACAGAAAGAAGAGGAAGCAGCACACACTGAAGAAAACAGCCCCACCACACCAGGCTTAATCTCACATTTATAATAATAACAACAACAACATATGATCAATACTCATATAACCAACGGTCAAAACAACTCAGCTTCTTTAGAGTTATTGTTGTGAAGATGGCCACCTGTGGGTAAATAGCTCTTGTTGTTCAGTGAAATGAGCGCTTTGTGGCAGGATTTAACACTTCCAAAAAACTCTCCATATTACAATCTCTTTAAGGGATGAGCTCCCATGAAAGTCTGATCCCAACATGGATGCTGCTGCTACTGCCAGGAGAAAGCCAGACGTGTGTGCGCGGTGTGAAAGAGCACACATTTTTGAGTTGGAGGTAAAGGAGACAGCAGAGTTGCCATTTTTCCCTCTAACCCTGTGACTATAGAGGCTGTGACTCTCCTCTCTTTTTTTGTTACACTTGGTCTCACTCTCTCTCTCTCAGCTTCCTGTTTTATCTCACCATTTCACTCTATGCTCTTCCTCACTTTGATCTGCTCCCATACCCACATTCCTTTCATCCCCCGCCATGTTCTCACGTTCAGCTCCTGTTATTACTTTCTCTGTTTGTTTAACAATTTCTTTCCCCCACTCACCTCCACCTTTCTTTCTTTCCTGCCTGCTCTTTCCCCTCTTTACGTGAACCTATCATTGTGTTCAGGCACCTCCTTTTCCATCTCCCCTTTTCTCCTCCTCCTCCTCTTCCATTGCCGTATCCCTCTCTTCCTCATGGATTCCATTATTTCAAAGTCAAATAGCAGACACCGGTACGCCAAACAGCACCAGAGATGCATCTCATGTTTTACCATCTCACTTCAAATAGAAATAGAAGAAATAAAACTCAGCCAAGACACAAACGAGAATGAGAGACAATACAAACAGGAAAATTGATCTTTCTCCTCCTTTACCTGTCTATCTCTCTCCTCTCTGCAGAGGGAGACCAGGTGCTGGAGCAAGGAGGTGCTTTAATTGTGCAGAGGAGAGAGAGATAAGAGGGGAATATGAGCTGGGTGTGTGTGTGTATATGTGTGTGTGCATGAACTTTTGAGAGGCAGCAGCAGATAATTGGAGAGGCACACCTGGACACTGGTCACCTCTCAACCTTGCCCCTCTGCCCTTCAAACCAGAAATATTCACTCCGGATGCATGCTGTGTGTGTGTGTTTGTGGTTGTGTTTGAAAGTGTACGTGTGTGTGGTGAACCATCATTGCCCATCTAGCCAGGGATTGCATTTGTGTGGGGGTAACAGGAGGCTACTCTGTGTGTATGCTCGTCTACAGTCTGTGTGTGGGCAAACGTGTGTGTTTTAGTGAGATGTGGTGTGAGCAGTAGGTCATTCAGCCACGCTATAAAAGATTCAGGACTGACTGATGACCTGGGCCAGCTAAAAAGCTCTCACTTTCCCACCATTTTCTTTGTGAGACGTGTTTTTCTTTATTTAACCTTTGCAGCAACAAAGAAAGAAATCATAAACTCCCTTTCAAAATGACATCTCATGCAGAAGAATTGTGATGCTCATATATTTTAGGCTAAAATATGAGAAATCTTTGTGTGCATCCAATGTCATGGAGCAGGCGAACAGTTGAGGACCCGACAAAGCCCCTACATCCCACCTCGACGGGGCATGTAATGGCCCTACGGCCAGCCTCTCTGCACTTTGCTGCAAGATCTGCGTACTTGGTGCGCTTCCGCTTGTTGGCAGCCTTCATATCCTGCTCCCACGGAACAGTGAGCTCCACCATCTTGATGGTCTTGCGTGACACTGACCACATGATCAGGCCTGGCCGGAGCGACGTTTCCACAATCTCCCTGGGAAATTGAAGCTGTCTCCCCAGGTCGACTTTCATGGTCAACTCACTGCCGGGTGAGAGGAGTCTTGGTGTTACTTTCTGATGAGCAGGGTTGGGGTTCTCCACAGTCACTCTGCCAGCTTCCTTAGCACTCCGTCGTGTCACCACCTGTAGTGGCTTTGGGACAGTGCTGTCTTGCAGCCTGACAGGATATGCTGGAGGCTTGCATTGATGGTATCACAAAGGGGGCATGACTCTTCCGCACCAAACAATGGGTGGAGGTTTCAGGGACAAGGTTGGGTGTCATAGTTGGATCTGATCAAAAAACTGAGCCTGGCTTGGGGGATCTTCCACAGATCAGACCATGACATGGGCCTGTTTGTGCCGCCTTCCCATGATATCCAATCTCCTTGCTGGCTCTGAGACACCGCGTTGACACGAAGGCGGTCTTGTTCTGTCCTTGCCACTTCTGCCACCACCATGGCTCTTCGCTGCTATTTTGAGGCCTTTGACTAGAAGGGGGGGTCTTGCTTCTCCCCAGTCCTGCTTACCCCACCTTGACTCTTCCAATGACCTCGTGGTATTTCAGCCTGATGACTGCCTTGTCAACCTTCTCCTGGGCTTTCCACTTCCTCACTGTTCGTACCTGGGAACCAGCTGCCCTCACCAGATGGTCAGTGGATTCTCGTAGATCCAGCACCACTCGAACCTTCTCCTGTCTGTATCCCTGGCTGATGGATCGCAGTGGCAGCTGCAGCATGTTCCTGCCGAATAGGCCTACATCTGAGAGGCATCTTGGCTGTCCCAGCCACTTCTTGATGAACAAGTTTGCCGGGCTGTCTATCTTGTCTGCCACTGAGGAAGGGACCTCACTCAGGCCACATCACCCTTGGGTACAGTATGAACTGGTAGCTCCGTACTTTATACTTGCCATCCAGGGAGCTGACTCTTGCCAAGCCCTCCGCAAGCTGCTTCCTCACTGTTTCCCCCATCTGCCCATCAGACAGGTTCGACCCAGGCTACGGATGGGTTGACTAGCCAGCAATGGGATCTCATCACCACCCGCAACAAAGATGGTGTTTCCATCTGTTGCTGACCCCTTTCCTGAGGGACAGACTCACACTAGCAAGAGACAAACTGGCACTGAAGCAGGGGAACACAGAGACTAAATACAGGTGGGTGATGACAATCAAACACAGGTAAAACACATAAGGGGGGACAGGTATTCACACACTGGGAACACAGGAGGGTAGGAAGTTGAGGATCTGAAATGAGACAGAGTAGTGAGTATCAAAATAAAACTGGAAAAACAGGGTGCCTAAACTTGGTTTCTCGTGGAACACAAGCACTAAAGTCCTGGGTAAAAGTCCTGTTAAGGGGTGAAAGTTTTACATTTCTAATTAAAATCACAAGTTACTTCTTACCAAGATTCTTAAGGTGGTCGGTAACCTTTCGAGGACATAAGAGTCCAGGCCTATTAGCAAACTGCGCATATGAAACACGGTCTTAAATTCAGGTTATGTTTGTTATGGGAATTTAATCCTTGTCTACAACATGAAATTTAAATGTCAGTTATTCTCCTGAGCTGAATTTAAACAGGAGACATTGTGGGATGTGGTTGGTGATGTATTACGACACAGTCGTTAAAGCACAATGATGGCTTCATCTCTATCTTTCCTCCCTCCTGTCTGTGTATCATTGTGTCTTTTAATCCTGTAGTGTTTGCCCCTAGCTTTAACCTTATTACCCTGCACACCCAGGAGACATGTAATGAAACAGTTCCCTCATTCAGGAGGTCAATTTGCTCGCTTTCCTTTATGAAGTCTAAAGTCTCCTTCATCCCATCGGCACACCTGCCCGTCTGATCTTTTTCACAGGCTTTTCTTTAATTAGCCCTTGTGCCTGTGTAAGAAGGAATTCACTCTGACTTCATTGATTTTAGGTTTGATCTATCAGAAGCAATATTCCCTCTCTCAACGTCTTGCATCTTAAAAAAAAAAACTTGCCTTGATGGTTTGACTGTTTCCTCTGTGCAGACAGATCGCTGCTTTGGTTTTATGTCTCTGAAACAGGAATATCAAGCATTACCAATTTCACAAGACACACGCAGAGCATTGTGGGCCCCGAGCTGTCATCAGATTCAATCCAACTGTCAGGGAATCAAAACAGATCAAATGCAGCAACTCAAAGTAATACGTTAAAAAAATGTTCACCTGGCAACAAAAAACAATTTGTTCCTCAGCAGCGCTCCATGAAATCACAGTTTCAATCTGTTACATCACAATCAACACGTTTTCCCTTCGGGTAATTTAACAGTAAACCTGTGATAAAAAAATTACAAAAAAATGACAGAGGATTCACTCTAGAAATTTTATAATCTGAAATGTCATAAGAAAAAAATCCCACATGAAGGGACGTTTCTGTCTTCAACAGTGCAACACCTGTCTGTTACTCCTGTGATTCCAATCCAGTTCAATCCAGGTTTATTTATATAGCACATTTAAAAACAACAATGTGCTGACCAAAGTGCTGTACAGTAAAATTAAAAATAAAATAAAAAGAGCCAGACAATTAACATGAACAATAAAACAAGACACAGGAACACGTTAAAAACTGTGTTCCTGTGTCAATGTTCACATTTAATCCAACTTTTAGTAAGATCTGGATTCAAGGCCCTGGAGACTTAAAAAATGATATTTAAGTTTAGAATCGAATTTAGCATTCAACAAAAGTAGATTGAAAACGAGCATTCATTAGAAAAATTATGTGTAATTTAACTTTATACTGTTGACTGACATCCACTCAGTCCAAGTGCCTGTGGCACAAACCACAAAGTGCAGCCCCCAGCAATGAGTTTGACTTATTTAAGTCATGAGGCAGAGGGACTTATACTCACTTCAAACCCAGCATCGCTTAAATAAATCAATTTAAGTCTTATTCATGAAAGATTAGTGAATTTTTAGTACTAAAAATCTACATCGAGTCATGGACATGGCAGAAAGTTGTGATTTGATCACAGGCACGTTTTAGTGCCAAACAATCTTAAAGTGACCACATACTCCCTGCACTGTCACATTTTGTTTCTGATGATATTGTTTGATAGAAAAACACATGGATACTGTCTTTGTCATGGTCAAAGTGAGTCTATTTTTTATGAAGCCACTTTTATAACCAAGTAATTTATGATGATAATTTCTATGCTGCTTCATTGGGTGTCTTTGCTGAAGCATACAGGACTATATCATCAGCATAAAGCTAACAACCAGCCCCTGGACAGCTATCAGGCAGATCATCAATAAAATGGCTATAAATATGTAGGCCCAATACTGAGCCTTGGGGAACACCTGTTTCAATTGGTCAAGGAAAATACTTTTTTGAGTCAATCTTCAAACATCGATCTCTTGACTGTAGAAAATAAGCAAACCATCCAGATGCTTGCCTGGAAAAAAATAATTTTAGACAACTTAGATAAAAGGATGTTGTGGTTGAGTGTTAAAAGTCATCCTAAGACAGCACTGGAAGAATAAACATTGCACATTGGAAATTGATCACATTCGACAGAAGGATTAATTAAGTAAGTAAGGGGGTATATGATATAAAAGCTATACAATAAGTGGTGTTTAAAACTTTGAGCTTGCTTCTCCTCTAATTGACACCATGATTTATTGCACTCATACTCGATAAGTGCACTATCTGTAGTAGATCGTCTGTGGATTTTCAGTTCTTTTATCCTTTTTTGCTACAATTCTTTGTCAATTTATTTGGATGTTTCCAAAGGGAAGCTGAGTTACCTTTGGCCTCCTCTATTGGCAGCAACATGAGGCTTTCACATTTCTTAAATCTCTTATCCCTTTATTTCTAGGACTTTCACACAGGTGAAACTAAGTGAACATTCCTGTTGACAGTGCTCTTTTGAGAGGGAAATGTCTTTTCTCTTCATGAACAAAAAGTTTTCACTATACAACCTACGTAGACGAGTCTTCCTCTGTGAGTGTTTCATTACTAATATGTATTTCCCAACTAACTCAAAGTCTTGTACCGGTAAAGTTGTACCATATTAAGATCATAAGTAGGCCTGCACGATATATCGTTTGAACATCGTGTGTGCGATAGTCACATCGCAGAGCCTGGAGGTGAATGAACTCAGTTAATTTCAAGAGTAACTGACTGAGATACACTGCATGTGACTCTGCATGTGCTGTGCAGCGATCCACCAATCACCTTAGTTCTTTACTCAGTTGCCAATCAGACTCAGTTCTCAGTTGCCAATCAGACTATCCTGCCAGCTGTCAATCAAAATCAGAGAGGAGGAAACCCACCCCTGCACATGTCCTGCACATGGAGTGAGACGCGTGTCCGCTGAGAATTACTTTCGGAACATTCTTCATCACTGTTTAGCCCAACAAATAAGAACTGAATGGGTTTTAAATTGTACATTTCCGTGGACCACTCTACTATAAGCAGTGCGCATATTGTGAGGTGCATGCAATTCTCAGAGGACATGCGTTTCTCAGCACAACCCCGTTAACAACAACGATCGCAAACTGAGCAACAAACAGAGAAAACCACAGAAGATGAAGACTTGTTGCCAAAAAGAAAATGAAAGTCAGTTATCTGGAATTATTTCGGTTACAAGATGGATAATGTCGACCAAAACACGTGTTCTGTGTTCATCTGTTGCCACAATAACGTCCCAGAACAATAAAAGCTAAAAATATCTCTGAGACAGACAGAAGCCATTCTACTAACATTCACAAAAAGAGGTAAGATCAGTGCAGGTTAACTGTCCTCAAGATTTCAGCAGTGCAACATAACATTAAGAGCTATTCAGGTCACCTGGTGAAAATTCCTCTATGTTTTAATATTGCAATATATATCGCAGGGTTGAAAAAAATCGCAATATTAATTTTTTCCAATATCGTGCAGCCTTAATCATAAGCCAGCAATAGTGATGTGTAGTGGGTCAGCAGAGGCACAGAACATGGCTTCAGTGGGTAAACCCTGGTCTCCTGTGGATATGATAAACCTTTAGATAAACCACACGGTCTGATCCCTGGGGAGCCAGGTAACAAAAAAAAATCAGGTAGTTTCATGCAAATCCATGAGTATGGATTACAATCCATGCCAGACTTGCAAATGCCTGTGTATGAACCTGCACATAGCTTTATTTTCTTGATCCAGCACCCTAGGGCTCTGCAAACATGCAGTTATATAAACAGGCTACATTCACTGCTTGCCAACCATCCCTCACTGCTCTATGCCATGTGTGCTGTTGCCCAGGGTGAAGCTGTTGTGCATCCAACCAGGCCACTGACTTGCAGCATTGAGCAACACTCTTTGTATCAATGTACAACTGTTATGGGATTTATTGTGATTTTCATTGAATTTGTGCAAACACACATACCATGTAGCTCTGAACAGCCCATTTTACAAATTTTAACCTCATCTCTAACCTGCTTATTTACAAATATTTAAGCTACATATGTTATATATTGTTTTTTTGGTCATGTGCAAAATACCAGTTTCAAAGGTATCTGCCTGTTGTTAATATAACAAATCACATTATGAATTAAAATAGAGATTTCTGATAAGAAATATTCATTTTTTTCTTCACTTACACAAACTACAAGTGGTCAGAGGCAGGTGCTGGAGTTACTAAAACATTCACAAATGCTGGTAAATTTTGTTCTGCAAAAGTTTATACACAAATTTGTGCTGTCTACATCTCACAAACAGAACCCAATGAGAGTATAGAAAACATGAACGGCAGTCTTTTTCTATTTAAGGTGTGAACCACAGAGGGTGTATGGATTGATGATGCCTCCTAATTTCTATTCCTTTTGAGATTTGGAGCCAAAAGATTGGCTCAATGGATGCTGATACTTGTGTTGGAGCAGCCAGCCAGGTCTTTTGAAGATCCCTTTAGGTGTGTACAGTTCACAGCAGCACAGATTCTTGTGTTGGTTTAAAGCAGAAACTTACGCTGTGATTCCACTGCATGCAGATCTGCTACACTCTGCTCGGGAACGGTGGATCAAAAACGCAAGCAAACAGCAGCCACCATAAAGCCGAGATCTGCAGAAGAAAAGCGCTAGCGATATTCCAGATATTTCTCACAAGAATGGACGAGATCTCGCATGTTTCACCATGAGACATTAAATGAGATCAGCAGTGTATATAAACACCCACATCCCACAACAAACCATTGTTCCCACTACAGCAACTGACCAGTTGTTTTTAGCCAATTCATATTAATCAACTTACCATCCACTCACAGTACTTCAGCTATGCTTTCTCTTGCTTTCTCTTTTCTGATGTTATCCTTCTAAAAAGGATGTGAGCTATCATAAATAATGGTGTGGTTTTGGACATCCAAGATAAGTCTCTCCTCATCCATGTCGACTGGGGTGTGAAATGACCGCTGAAAAATCTTTGAATCTTGAGTTGAACCCTGGCTCTTCCCATTATCATGTGAAGAACAGTTCAACGTATTGATGTAATTTTATTTTGAAAATTAACCAGATATTTCACGCTGTAGCCGCATACAACTTCTGCTGCCGCTTGTGCTGCAGCGTCCAGCAAAAACAAAAGCCTTGTGTATCTGATCCGACCGCTGGAGCGGATCCACAGTGGAGCCGGATGTCTGACACATTGTGTGGAATCTCGCACATTGATTATAATGCCTGTGTATTTGATCAAGCTGTTCAAATTATCACACTGCAACATATTTTTACCTTCACCAAGGAGGTTATGTTTTCGGTAGCGCTGGTTTGTTTGTTTGTTTGTTTGTCTGTCACCAATTTTACGGAGAAAGTAACAGACGGATTGGCCTGAAATTTTCACCAGAGGTGCGTCCCAGCCCCAGGAGGATCCCATTACATTTTGGTGGTGATCCGGGTCGTCTTCTGGATCCAGGAATTTTTTGAAGGATTCTTTATCATTGTGAGATAGGGCAAATTTTGGAATTTTTGCATTTAACTCAATAAAAATGGCCAGAGTCTTTAGTAAAAAATTACACAAAAGGATCTCAATGAGTTTTATGAGGTGTCAAAGGTTGATCCTGATCCAGACAAAATTCCGGATACTGTGATCCAGAACACACAAAAATAAGGGTGTCGTTGGAATTTTCAATGCTGAAAGATAACCAGTGGGCGGCACAGTGGTGTAGTGGTTAGCACTGTCGCCTCACAGCCAGAAGGTCCTGGGTTTGAATCCGGGTCAGGGCATTTCTTGTTTTAGGAACATTATGAACAGTGAACATACAACTTTAAACACAAATAAAAGTTAATAAAAGACACGTAACAGTAAAAGTTTTGGTGTGAATCACAATATAAGAGGGAACATGAGCTGCTTGCCGGAGGTCTGCGCTCTCCGAGTGCTTTTCTAGTTTTAAATGAGGCTGTCGTGGCTCAGTGGGTTTACTCAATCACAAGGATAATGGTTAAGTACAAGACTATTCACCATTTGCTATGAGAGTGCCTGGATGTAAATCTTGTTTGGCATGTATTCCAAGTATTCTGTATCCTGTATTCTGATCCCAAGTGCACCCCAAACATAATCTTTTGAGTCCAGGATGCTTCCTCATCCTCTTGTGAGTTGTACACTATGGTTGGATGAATGCTGGTTGACCACATAGGAATGTGGTCTGGCTGATTGTGTTTCTCCTCTTTCACTCAACAGTGGCTATTTTCCTGCATTCAAAACAATCAAATCTTACTGACTCTACAACTAAACTAACAGAATCCACACCACTTTATAGTTTTGCTAATAAGTACAGGAAGCCCTAAAATGTGATTTTATTGATAAGAATTTTTAAAATAGATCTTCTCTGTACAAGTAAACAAAGTGTTTTATACATCGATAAGTCAGTTTCCTACTGCCCCAATATAAATAGAACAGACATGTAAGGATAGCAGGATGGAGAAAAACAGCTGTGCCTGCGCTGGGAGTGAAATGATGTTGGCACACTGGTTATAGTGGCAGCAGACAGTCAATGGCAAATTTGATGGAATCTGAATAAGACGCAGCTGCATCCAGTGGACGCTGTGGGTACCGTTATGCCAAGCTTCAGCAGATGTGTTCTCTAATGCTATGCATAGTCTTGGGCCAGTTTCTAAAAATTAATTACAACATTTACTAGTCACAATTATCAAAACATAATTCAAGTAACTGCACATCTGAAATTTGAAGGTAATGAGTTGTTTGAAAAGGTTACAAATTTCTTCTTTTCATTTTAGGCCTCTCATAAACGGCCCCTGCCTTTTGTTCATTAACTCTCTGAAAGTTGCAGACAGAAAGCTCACACCTGGGGGCTTTTGCACAAAACCTAGGTGACAGATTAAGCCAGGATTTTTACAACTGTCCAGACTGAACTTAGTTGGGACTCTATTGCTCAAAAGCAGGGGTACATAAGGACACGTGGGGGTGTATTATGTGCATGCTAGCCTGCCCCAGATCAGGCTAAGAGGCAGACTTAAATAATCTTAGTGCCTTAAAGACTCACACCAATGAAATTCATGTTTTTCTTGTTGTCTACATGTTTATATGGCATTTTCTGATGCCAAAGGACATATCATGTGAAAACTAAGTGCAAAATTGCACTTCTGAGTATTTCTGCATTCAAATTGCTGTGAACCTCTGGCAGACCCAAACAGTAGGTTCAGACACAGGGAGAATTTCTCTGGCATAAATCCAAGTTCTGCCCCCTTTGACCTGCTTAAATAGTAATTTTTTTTATTTTTTTTCCAGATTTATTGTGGAGTTGATTTTCTGATTTCAGATTTGATTGTTCTTTACAAATATACAAATACATTATTCTTCTCCAAGGTGTAGGCTGAAGCCCACAGCTTATTTTGCCTACCCTTATCACTCGTTTTTGCTTCTTTGAGCTATAGAAGATGTCAAACAAAATAATAATAATAATAATAATAATAATAAAGTACAACAGATACATTTTAATTAAAACAAAAAGGCCTATTTATTTTGTAATCATGTGTAAGTGTTATTTAATTCATATTTTTAGTGGATTACTTTGTGATGCAGCACATTGTTAATAATACCCTCTTCCTTGTACTGCTCTATTTTATTTAGCAGTAGTAGCAAATAAATTGTGGTTAATTTTCAAAATATTATAATCTCTCCAGCTAGCCTCACTTAACTGGACCAGTAACTTTGTGGTACACTATATATATTCATAAACTCCACAATATTTTATCTGGACCTCTTTATTTTGCCACGATCACTTGCCAGCTTTAAATAGAGAGAAAAACAAGTCTAATTTTGGTTTTATATGTATAGTGGAGCAGGGAGTAAGAAATTATATATTCCTGATTATTTCTGATCAGGCTGTCCGCTGATGTCTCCCAGGCTTTATTAATGCAGCTATAAAGCTGTTGGTTTTTTTTTTTGCAAATAATGTGTGGTACCTTCTAATGTGTTTCCATTATCAGCTGTTTTTCCAAATATGAAGAGTACACTTCACGTGTTTTCTCCATGTCTGCATCAGTCAATCTGTGATCAATTGTGTGGTCTGTTTAAGAAAGCTGCGAATGTGCACTCAACGGAATTATTTGCTCCTTGCTTGACTTAGTCCCACCTTCTCATGGACTGGATTAAACCATGATGAACTGGTCTGTTAAGGTTGAGATGGAAGTTGTGTTTAAGAACATTGCAATTGCAGATATTATATAATTCAGGTGTTTTGAAAGCAGTGTTATACAGCAATCATGGGACAAAAAATGTTTGTTCAGTTGAAATAGGGAGATGTGAAGCAAACCCTAACTCTAGTCTTTTTAATGTGCAGACTCTTATTGGTAAGTAAATGTCAATAAGTTCCACACAGTCTTTTTATTATGGGGGGTAAACCTTTAATGTTTTCATTTAAAGGTCCTATATTATGCAAAATTCCAACAGTTTTCCAACAGTTTTCCAACAGTAATATTTCCAAGATGTTTGTTCTGCCCCCGAGAATTTCCACTCAGACACAATTTTTCTCCCTGGTAAACGCTGGTTCAAAATGGTGAAGGTACAAGCAAAGCACAGCAGTTGCTCTGTTGTTGGCTGCAGGAAGTAGCACAGAAGTCTGTTTTTACCTCTCTCTTCATCTGAGGTTTTGAAGGCCTAGTGGATTTATTCTACTTTTGATGGAAATGTACCCACAACAACCTCTAAAATGTATGCGTGTGTGCCTACCACCTCACTTTGGACTGCTTTCAAAGCAGTACCAGTACAAAGCAGAATTCGCTAAGAATCTGAAGCTAAAGCCTGGATCAGTACCCACTGTTTGCAACCCAATTAGCGTGGGAGCTGTAAGTTTTCCTATTTTATGCAGTCACGAGAAATAACTATACCTTTAATATTGCCCATTCACTAATAGAGCTCCAAGTAAACGAGAGGACAAAATATTGAGACACATAATATTTGTAACTAACCATTCAGAAACGTCCTGCTGCAGACACAGAGTTGGAACTTCTTCAGGAGCCTCTTTTTCTGGGTCAGACTCTGGATCAAACTGGAACGGCTGGACCACAGCGCTTCTACAAGCATGGTAACGTCCTGCAAGCCATGCCCCCATCTTCCAGAGAGACAGGGAGGGGCGTGGCTTGTGCTAAAGGAGTCGTGGACAGGCGCAGCACACAAAAAAGGGTGTTCTCAGTAGAGCTCACCAGAGGGAGTTTTCAGGCTGACTGAAGTCCAGGAAAAAAAAGGGTTTTTAGACAACAAACTTCAAATTGACTGTTCTGGGACCTCTGAGACCTATGTGAACCTGCTGAAAAGGAGTATGGTACCTTTAAACTGTTGAATTTGTCCTTTAAACAGACCACTCCTGTAGTAATAATTTTTTACTCCCTTCATTGTTTCCCTGTGTAGGATACTTGAACATATTTTTCATATAAATTACACGTGCAATTTAAAACTAATTAATGAAACATAATTATTATCTAATATCACCAGTCTTTTGTTCCATTGGACAAATTAACTGAGACAGAAGACACAACCAAAACTTTGAAGGCCTAATTGCATTTTCTCTTTCTCTGAGGACGTATTAGCTACTAATTCGAAAATAGAGAGAAAAACTATTTGAAACTCTGACTGTAAAAGTCTTGATGTGGTTGAACTTTGTGACAAAATGAGGACTTGAATGTAAAGTCTGCTTGTTATAAAAAAAAAAAGAAAAAAAAGTGTGTTGATTGGTTGGTCAGTATTCCAAGGAGTGACAATCATGGTCTTAATCACCGGAGCATCAGTGAGACATGTAATCAATGCAGAGGAGGGAGGGGTTTGGGAAAAAGAACAAATGAGCTTTTAATGATGCTGTGGACCCCTCAGAGAGGAACAGACAGAAGAAGGAAATTACAATAATCAAACACCTGATTCTGTTGCTACCATACGCCCACCTGTTCCCACCTGCATCCTGCTCCTCTTCCTTGAAAGTTTCTCAAATCTTCCTCTCCCTCCCCTCCTTTATTCCATCCTTTTTCTTCCTTTCTTGTTGTCAGTGTGTGAAGAACAAAGGACGTTGTCCAGCAGGCAATGAGAGGGCTGCTAGGGGTCTGCGTGATATTTGGGTGTGATATTTCCATCGCTGGCCTTAATGTCTGGTGTCAACCAATTCATTACCCTGCACCTGGAGACAAAGTGAGCAAAAGGCTATAGTGAAAGATGGATCTGAGGGGAGGAGGATAAAAGAGGAGAGGACAGGGTGATTTTCCTTAAAGGTTTAGATCTGGTTTTCTAAAAGTGGTCTCACACATCTGTCACAGAAAATAATCACCCTGGTTACTGTTGTCTCACCTACAATTTATGATAAAATATCTGTTATTTCTGAAATTAAAAAACATGTTTGATGAATTTGATTTTTCCTGCATGATTTAATGCAGTTTAAAAATGCCTCATATGTTAATAATCTACTCTTTTCCTTTAAATTTGTGCTGGTGATACGCTGGCCCTCTGCTGTCCCTCCTGGTCTGCTGATGACAGACAGACAGCTGTACTCAGGACCAATCCCAAACCCAGCCAGACAGTGGTGACAGTGGTCAGTCAGTAGCTGCACTTACATGGACATTTTATGGATTGAAGATATCGGTACAAGTGTTAACATAGCATGTGATTGAATCAGGTCTGGTGTTTACACGCACCTACAAAGAGCTGGCCATTTAAATCACACACTGATAATGGTTCTAGTAGGTAATAGTACTTTATACCACCCGTCCTCAACCAAATAAAACTTCACTCAGTTTGGGTCTCTTTAATCTGAATCAATGGAGCATTTTTATAATGCTGTGGGTTTAAAACTTTTTTAATTAGAGTATTATGGTCCATGTTAACACAGCAACTGTAGTGCAACCATAACACTGCTTACATTCTCACTATAATTACAGAAAATGAGAATGTTTTATTTTTTTAAATATATATTTCTAACATAAAAGGTAAGATGACCATATGTTTACTCAGCTGAAAACCAAGCGTATAGATCATAGACTGTATATAAGATGGACAGAGTCTGCCTCCTCGCTGGATGAAGCCACTCCGAGAACAGCACCCTCTGTTGATGGGCTGCAGTATAGGTCATAAATCCCGCCTCCGCCAGCAAAGCTTATGGGGCTGTGGACAAACTTTAGAAATTTATTACACAGAACATAAATTTTTCTCCCCCCTGCTTGTGATGTTGACATGTAGTTATTGTAAGACTGGTTTGTGCTCAAGTCCTCTTTTTTCTGTGAAGCTCCGTTTTTAAAAGTTATTAGGGGGTTCATATTTTCTGTGATTGACACCTGATACAGCCTATGGGCGTTCAGGGATTGCGTAGCTCTCCCGGAGGATACGCTGTTTGAGCCGAACGTCATCACAACGACTCTTGGTGACTGCGCGCCCGAATGCACACATCGCTACTGCGCAGCTCTGGTTTCAGGAAATGAAGAAAAATCCCGGAAATATTGAGAGCTTTTTGGCTTCAAATCTGTATAGAGGCGGTAGGCGGAACCAAGTTGTCCATAGTATATACAGTCTATGGTATAGATATATTGAAAGTGGATGAGTTGTCACACTAATGGATGGTTTCTTGTTGTTTGTTTTAATTACAAAGCCAAAGTTAGCCCGCAGTTACCCCAAAAAGCTTCTAATTACAGGAACATGATAACCTTGTAGTCATTGTACACAATGCCATCCATCAATTCGACAGTAAAAACAAAACATATTTAGTGTGTACTGTACATAATAACTTTTTTATTGGTCACCTCTGTCCTACCCCTTGTCTTATCATGTTTAACTTATGCTGTCTTCATTTTTGTTTTCCTTGCAGGGTGACTGGTTTACAGTAGAATTTTAGTTTAGGGGAAATGACAATGATCCCCTTTTATTCCAGCACACAACAACACTACAAGACAACATTTCAGGAATGCTGAGTTCGTATGTGCATCTGTACGTGTTTGCAATCTGAAGTGGTAGGTCTCAGCAGACCACTAACTTTGAAAATAGATCTTGGTTTGGAATAAGTTGTGCACCCCTGAGTGTAGATTTAGTCAGCCCTCCTTTGTCAGGGCTACAAAGCTATTCTACCATCTGCATGAAGCCTACTGTGCCAGTGCGCAAAATGAGTGAGTGTCAAACAGAGGGGAAACTTTAAAAACTGACTGAAATGACATAACTCTCTGTGTTCAGATATTAATCTTATTGTAGGAAACTACCTGCTGTTGTTCTGACTCATTTTGGGTCCCATGAGGTTACTGGCAGTGGAAATGCTTTACATTTAAATGCATGTTGTAGTATTATGGCAAAGTATCACTGATTTTAAAATACATTTCTTTACACCCCACTTCATAAACCAAACAAAAGCTGTTTTATCATCTGTTTAAAGATAGTATCAGCTCTTATCAGTTGCAGTCGCAGAAATCAGATCTCTGAGCTCCTGTGACACACCTCCTGCTCATGGAGGAGAGGGGGTGACTGCAAAGAGATGAGGCTCAGAAGATTTAATAAGATGCTGTAGTGGTAGCCAAAAATATAAGATTGAAACTTAAACTACAGGAAAAAAAATACATGTAAAGTACAAAGTACATGTTTCAATAATGTTAATGTTTCATGTTGTGTTCTTAAGTTTAAATCAATGCTATGTGGGGTTACAAATAAGTAGAGACATAGTGTCTGATTTGAACATGTGTTTACTGTTTCTGTTAATATAATACAAAAAAAAAAAAGACAGAAATGAAACACCGAGTTAGACAAACCTTCGAGAGATAATTGTTGCTGACTGCTTGCTTCTTTATTTATACCAACTTTAGCAAAGACCGCACGATATCAATACACAGCGGTCTACGTCTTCACATGCAAACCGCAACTAAAATGCAACTCTACAGCCACAAGTAATACTCGGAACAGCACCTAACTTCATCAACAGTACATATAGGGTCTCAACCATAGTGCGTGCCATCAAACATCTGTTTAGCTTCGCCTGATTTCTTTAGCAAAGAGACCAAACACTTCTCACCCACTCTGCCCTGACGAGCTGATCACCGAGTGCAGTGGAGTTTCACAGCTCAAGAAAGAATTTTCCGTGAGTCTGCCCCAATTATACCCATGCATGAATACATGGATTGGTTGAATGTCAACTGAAACAAGACTCACAGTAGAAACAAAGAGGAACTTTCCAAATGAACAGTGATGTTATGTGAGCAGTGTAACTTGATCAATTATTTAAAAGACCCAGACACACAGACAGTATTTATAGGGCTGAAAATCTGTTTTCAATGACCATCTTTGGGTTACATAACCTCTCTTTGAAGACCAATGGCTGATGTCACTGAGACTGTGTCCGACTTGCATAAACTTAGTATAATTTTCCTACTTTTACCATCAAAAAGAGACATAACATTTGTGCAGAGTCTTCGTAAGACATCCCATGTAAAGAATTGAACAACTAAAGGGTGACAGACAGTGCATCTTTCCCGCCATTTGAGCATCTTATCTACAAGTTGCACTTTGAGCTGTTTCGTTAGTTAAACTTCTCAGGTACAATCTATCCAGTCTCGATATGACATGAAAATTCCAGTGGTGGGTGGCGGACTGAAAGGGAAAGACAGAGGAAGGGGAGGCAGACAAAGAAAAGAAAAAAAAAAAACATCAAGGCAATGAGAGGTAGAGATGTTGTCATGCTTTCCTCTCATCTGCTTTCAATAAAAACCCCTCTCCCTCAGGGATTCAATCACCCTTCTTTATTGGTCTGGCTTTACTTTTCCCTCGACATTCATGCTCCTGTGACTTAAACCAGGTGGTAGATCATGTAGCATACAAGCAGAGCAAACCTGCAGAAAGTCAAGTTCAAATAATTAAATGATTAAACAAACACAAGTAGATATTTTTCTCTTTAACTCCCGTTTTCACACTTTCCCCTGCCGAAGACAGCCATGTTTTGCTACCATTTTACAGGTGTGTGTCCTCGTGGGAGAGTGATGTCTGTGCAAACCTCTTTAATTTCAGCATGAGTTGTGTCAGTGGTCATGTAGAGCTCTTTGTTTCACAGGAATAATGTATGAAAGGTGTTGTACAGTCCCCCAGGGTCAGTGGTTATTTCAGAAGTCTGTGATTAATATTTAATATTCAGTCATCAATGCTCACTTATCAAAGGACAGGGACAGGATAGGTGCCAAAGTTTATCTGTTGATGACTTACACAAGGACATGTTGCTGTGGGTGGGACAAACAGAGAATATCATAAAGCTACAGAGTGAAAGTCACTGTTGGGTGTAAGAAAAAGATGATCACCTGGACAGCACCTCCAGCAAGACCCTGAGGCAGCTGTCAGTGTGCAGCCATTTTTTAAATGGCAGATTAGGTATGCTCATACAATTTGAAAAGTCCTGTTGTGGAAACTTTCCATTGGCCTGCAAGTCACCTTGTAAGCTACTGTACAACTGAACCAGAGCACCTGTTCTGATGATCATATGTTATTCTTTCGTTTAATGTACCATGGAACTACCACCTCCATGCTGAATTGTGGGTGTAACACATGGTGCTTTCAGACGTTCACCAGTTTGTCTGCGGACATAGACTCTGCGTTTTGAACCAAACAGTGCAAACTTGTTTCTAGTCATCATAAGTCCAATTTTTGTGAGCTTTTGCCCACGCATATCCCTTTTTCTTGTTCTGTGGACGAAGTAGTGTTTTTTTGCAGATACACAACCCTTCAGACCAGCCTTTCTCAAGCGTCATTTCACAGTTGTCAGAGATATGGGTTTTGACCTTGTCATGTTGATTTCCTCCCTTATTTTTGGTGCTGTCTTTTGCCGATCTCTCTTACTGGTGACAACTATATGTTTATCCTCTGCTTTTGTAGTAACTCTCTTTCATCCAGGTCTTTTTCTATCATCATAACTTCCAGGTTCTTCTAGTCTCTTCAGAGTGTAGTGGACTCCTTTGTTAAACACCTGTAGGCGTTTTGCAAATTTCTCTTTCTGCGTATCCTTCTTTCCTCAATGTACGAATCTGTACTTTTGTTTCTTTACTCAGTTGCTTCTTTCTAGCCATTTTTGCCGGAGTTTGAACGCAGTTGAGATTTATTAGGATTTTTGTATGTAGACTCTCAAAAGCCAAAAGGTTTAAGTGAATAATCCAACTGTGATTTGTTTTTTTGCTTTTGCACTGAAGTTGTGACTCTTGCAAATGTTTTCAAGCCTAAAACTAAGCCCTTATTATCTTTTGCTGACATATATTTAGCAACGGTCTGTTAACATCAATGTATATCTAAAGGTAAATGGAGTAAAATGGTGCATTTCCATGAAAGCAACATCTCATCATGGAGTAAATACATCCCAAAATACATAAAACTCATGCTGGATTTTAAAAAAAAAGCATTGTGAACAAAAGCTTGAAGTTACTCCCAAATGGTAATGGCCTTGCTTCCAAACTTTTGGCCTGTAGTGTATATTTTAAAAACCTTACCAGTCTTTAAATAACTAAATGCAACTAAATGTCAACATCACAAGCAGAGGGGAGAAAAAAAATAAATTATGTGTAATTAATTTCTAAAGTTTGTCAACAACTCCATAGGGATTGCTGGCGATGGCGGGATTTATGACCTATACTGCAGCCCGTCACCAGAGGGTGCTGTTCTCATGGTGGCTTCACCCAGCGAGGAGGCAAACAGTGTCCTTTCTATATACAGTCTATTATCAACACCCACTGTTTGCATTTTCAGAGCACAGCACAAAGCAGCATTAAAGGACAGCTGAAGTCATGAGCACAAGCATTTATTTTTTTAAACACAAAATCTTTTTTTTTCGTCATCCATGAGTGAGAATGAAAGCCCTGCATATCTGCTGCAGAGGGCTCTAATTTTGAGTTTTGATGGAGCATGAAGTCTATGCCTTTGCTGCGGCCAAGTGGAGACTGACAGAACATAGATCTGTTTGTTGGTTACTAAATTGACCCAGTTTAAGTTCTTTGTCAGCGATTTCTTAGCCAGTGTTCAGTTCCAACCAATGCCCATCTGTCATGTTAAGTTTAGCGCCGCAGTACTGTACAATATATACTGGAAAGATAGTTGAGACTTAATTTGCAACAAAGACGACAAATAGCTTAAACCACAAGTCCGCAGTTTAAAGTGAGCTTCCTGTGTGTAGAACATCAAATTTTTGTCTTGAACTGCTTCATCTCCTCCATCTGTTTTCTCTCCTCCACCCTCTGTCTTGTCTGTCTCTCTCCCTCCACCCGCTTTCTGTCTCTCCTGTGGTATGAAAACTTTATTAGATGCTGGCAGAGTCCTTGAGGGGGAACACTTTAAATGTCTCCACAATTATACTTCTAATAATGGCTTCA